GCCTATAATGAATCTGTCCTTTAATTTCAAAGTCAGAAAAAGCACTGTCATTCCCTTGTTATGTGTGTTTCTGTGTGTATGAACACATACATGCAAGTGGAGACATGAGCAAAGACTGTAAACTTTCACCATTTTTTTTCTTCCATATTAACCTGTTTTGACAGTTTTCCTGTGTGTTTTTCTTCCTTGTGTATCCAGCGAAATCCTGGCCCACCAAGACGATGTCCCAGCAAACGATGTAAGTGATTCTCTCAAAATTCTTTTCTCATGAATTCAGCCCTGACCAAAACATTTACAGTTCAGCAGATCTTCATGCAGAAACTGTGAGTGAGACAGAAAAGGCACGCAGCCTTCCCGACACAGTCACAAATCTAATGAGCCTTCACACCTTAAGCTTCCCAGAGAGACGGGGAGAGAAGAAATCCAAATGAAAGACTATCTTAATGAAACAATGACTAAGCTTTCTAAATGGGGAAATCCCTCCCTCATTAAAGACTTTTAGCCAAGATCCGTGGCATTCATCAGCTTCTAAATTGCGCCAAAACAAAAGGATTTCCCAAGATAGCACGCATAATTAATTAAAATACTGTGTGCATGGGAATTTTTCAATTTAATATCTTGTGTGTTTTCTTGTGTTGTTAGAACTAGAAAAACAATACTAAGTTTTAATGAGGATGAAAAACCCAGATGAGAAAGCCTGAAAAGCTCCTTCGGCTTAGGCTTAACCTTAATAGTGGCACTGCGGGGACACCGAACATAGAATTAAATGTAATTATGAAAAAATGTTCAACCAAAGAGGTGCCTGTGAGAAGGAAACCAGAGAGGCTGTGTTCTTCACACAGCCTCAGGTGCCTAGAGGATATGGCAGTCCTTTTCATATTGGCAGCTGTTTGATCCAACGTTACTCCCAACGTTACCGTAGCTTCAGGTCTGAGATAAACACCTCATCAGATTCAAAGGAGACACTTTGTCTCCAGTGCACTTCAGGCTCTTTCCATAAACACACCTGAATGATTCCTTTGAGCCTGCTAGCTTGTTTCTGGCCTATATTTTAGTTTTAGAAGACGGAAGACATCCCACAGGGTTGGAGATGGAGTTATATCAAGTCACACTAACTTCCAGCAAAGGTGTAAAAAAGTGTGGCATCTGATAGCTTGGAGATGATTGCAAGAGATATTCTTCTAAGTGGAGAGCAGCAGAACGGGAACAGAATTCCCCAGACGCTGTGAAAAGAGACGCAGCTCTGCACTGTGTGTGGATCATGGTTATCAACCGTACTAGATGGCTGATAACATAGGTGTGGTGCTCTTCAAGTGTGTGTGTGCGTGTGTGTGTTTGCATGCACTTGTGCGATCTGAATGACTGCACAACAAAGAGTCTGAATGGATTTAGTCAAAGCTCAAACGCTGATGCAGCTGCATTCCCAGAGGTTTATGATGTGAAACACCAAAGGAAAGGAAACAATGATCACATTCATGAGATGTCATTTTCCCCCACTTTTATCTCTGGAATTTGTTGAGCTTTTTACCTTTTATACACAATGTAATGTGTTCAAAATTGGGTCTTGTTTTACCTTTTCTTTTTTTGCATGTTAACCTCATTCACTGTGATAAAGCGAATAAAGTTAACCCTGAATAGCTTTCAGATTTATACACGCACTGATGTAATATAGTGATGAGAGAGAGAATGGCTTTATGTCACCAGAGTCATGAGAAGAAAAGATAAACTCCAGAAGATGCAACTTCTCCATATGACTATATTTGTTAATTCATTAGGACCCACCCATCAGTACATTGTTGCTTCGGTATAATGTACGGGGGTTGCACAGTGGTGCAGTTGGTAGCACTGTTGCCTTGCAGCAGCGGGTTTGATTCCTGGCCTGGGGACATTTCTTCCTGTGCATGCATAGGTTCTCTCCGGATAATCCGGCTTCCTTGCACAGTCCAAAATTAATGTCTGTTAGGTTAAATGCCGTCTCTAAATTGTCCTTAGGTGTGAGCCTGTATGTGCATGGTTGTGTACTGCGTAACTGACAGAACAAGCAGGAGAAGATTGATGGTATTTTTGTACTGCAGTTTGACTGGATGGAGGTCTGGACCATTACAGCTTTTTTATCATTTCTGTCGCAGCCAATATGTAATAGGTTTAAGCCATTGTTGTGTTGACTTATAACTTTGGCCAAGGTGCAGCTGTCATTTTTTCACCTAAAGCTATTCAGTTATACAGAAAAGATCATGGAGATTTTACCAACAAATAGCCCATGTAGGCACTAGGGGTGTAAATAATAATCGTTTTGTATCGATGCATCGATCCAACAGCCGACGATCCGATGCATCGACACGTCTGCAAGAGAATCGATTCATGTTTTTTTTTTTCCTCTGGTCTATTTTTATCCATTTGCTCCTGGGCGTAATTCTCGCTCCCGTGCTGCAGTGGCGCTAAACCTATTTTGCCCTCCTACCTCGCTTCCTGGTTATCCTGCTGCAGCTGTGTGTTGCAGTAAGCTTGACACAGACATTTTTAAATTATGCTCAATATTGAAGCGTGGTCTGTGCTACACACTGTGGGTCTAGATACGGCCGAGGCGCAGAGGAAGTGGGGGCGAGTTTAGTCCGACGACGGAGGGACATGAGGGCCAAAAAGAGCGGAGATCCAGGTGGAAAAAGGGTCTCAGCGTTCTTACGCACCTCACTCTTCTAGCGGGTCAAACTTCATGAGTTGTTTTCCACAATTTCGGTCATAAAAACAAAACAAGCTGGCCTCCTTTCTGCGGCACTGTTTGCGGTCAGCTACAATTTGGGAGAGGTGCAGCGGAGCGTCTCTCAAGGGTGCGGGGACGTCTGGAGCCGAGGTATTGCACTGCACTCATTGCACTGATTTTCTGCAGTATTTTTGCAGTATTTTTTTGATGCAACTTTTCTACTTCTGTTATTTGCTGTTGTTTCTAAAACAAAAATGCATAACGATATTACAGCTTTCATTGATTTATTTCCAACTTGAAACTTTGTTTAGCCTGTAAGGTGTGTAAAAAAAACCAAAAAAAAAAAAACAATTAATCGATTAATCGAATCGAATCAAATCGAATCGTGGTGTATTCTTGAGTATCGAAAATAATCGAATCGTTGGGTCAGGAAATCGATACTGAATCGAATTGCCATGATGGATGAGATTTACACCCCTAGTAGGCACTCTACCACTGCAGGCCTCAGAAAAGTTTACATTAAGTCTTTGCCAGCCTCTGCTTTGCCATACATGGTGATTGCATATCATGGTCTTTATACTCCTTTTTGCTTGCAGTGACATCAACAGATTGCCACCACCAACAAGCATATCCTCCTATTTATAAAAATCTTAGCTCACCCAAAAAACCTTGTTCCATGCAGGGATTAATAGTTTTCACTCCTATTCCTCGGGTGGCAATTATGCAATTCTATTTGCTATAGACTGCTAAAACACAAGAGAAGGAAATAACTAAAATGCAGAAATGTAAATCTGGAAACAGTAAAAAATGTAAGGGTTGTATTTCACAGGGATCCCCTGGCAAACTGGTTGACAGGTACAAATACCCTGTAATGGGTATTTACGATTACAAAAACAGACCCCATCACCTGGACGGACACCTGCATCGCATCTGTAGTAATCTGATTGGTTCTAACCTGATGAGGCTGACCTTGTTAATTCTGCCAATGAAACCGAGTTGTACCAGCACTGTATCAAACTGATACACCATTTACAGTATACATCGTAACATTCTGGCTGGCCAGGCTAAAAAAACAAGTGTAGTGCAAGAACAGCAATAAGCAAAGTAGCTTTGATAAACAAAACAGAAAATAAATTTTACAAAAAGCCATATTATTAAAGGAACTAGAGATAGGATTTCTAAATGAGACTCCAGAAGCTGCGGGTAAATGCAGCTACCAGCCAAACTAGCACAGGAGCGTACAGAAACATGGACAGGACTTATTCACAACACTGCATTGATGATGCTGTAACCCTGTTTGAAGCATGCTGGTTTACTACAAGACCACCATGATTATATTTTAAGACAGCAACAAGCACCATGTTAAGTAACAAAGTAACTGTCTGAAACAACACTACTACTGAAAGAACCAGGACTTCCTGTATCATAACTGTTGGGAGGGTACATGCAGCATCACATCTGTAGGACTGTGTTGGAATTTTGACCCCTGAATTGCAGTGTATTATGCAGCACACAGCCTATTAAAGGCAACGGAGATTTAGGTGGGTGGCCTTGTTTGTTTAAAATAAACTGCACATGCATGTGTATTCATTCACAATCCCTGCTCTTAGTGCCCTTTAAATAACAAAAAAAAATGTTCTTCATGTTCTTAGGTTTATGCTGATGTTCTTCTTGTTTTTTAGGGGAAGTGATGGTCTAGTGGGTAGAGGTCTGAGTTCAACTCCCACAGACTGCCAATCTAGGTCCCTGAGCAAGAACTTTAACCCCATACTGCCCCTCGGCGCCACACAATGGCAGCCCACTGCTCCCTAAGGGAATGGATTAAGTGCAGATATGAATTTCTCCAGTGTGAGATCAAAAAGTCAAATTATTATTATTATTAAAAAAATAATTCATTAATACATTAATTGTATTAATACAATAATACAATACAATAATACAAGTGTAACGATTATTCTTCTACCGTTAAAGATCTCAGGTTGTTCTTCAGTAATTTGAGTCAGGAAAAGCCCTTCTTTGTATATTCAATAGTCAAAGTGAGAGCTCAAGATTTGTGTTTAAATCAGATCTCCTTTTGAGAGAGGTAAGAGAGTAAATAAGGTAATCTCTGCTTTAGGATAACTAGAAGGTTTTCCTTCTCTGATGCCAGCACAGCCTCATCATTATCAGACTATCCAAAGATCTCCCTCACTCAATCTTTACTTTCACCCATGCCTTATACTCTTTCTTTATTTATAGTGTTTTTTCTGCTTTTAAACTTCAACTTTACTGCTTTAAGGCACCAGCCAGAAATCCACAATTAAATTTCTTTTCAATAAATGTTTATTGATTCTTATACAAATTTGATCTACAAGGCAAAGAGGAGAAATCCACTAAAGGTTGATCTGTGATAGGTGTCATCCCAGATATCACCACCTAACTGTATAGCAACTACGTCATTGATCTCTAGCTGCAACACAACTCCGTTGGACACGTTGTCTTCTCGATAGATATCATGAACACGGTCCCCTGATAAAACAATGGGATCCTCATTCTTGACAAGTCGCATTGCTAGAAAATTATTGACAGAAGCAAGATGGCCAGTGAATATGAAGTAATACACTCCCCTTATTGGTGCTGTGAAGTAACCTGAAACACCAGAATGACAAAGCAGTTAGCTTATCCTCGCCTTTTTCCCTTCCAATATAGAAAAGCAAATAACTAAGGAACTGTAAGCCTAAATTACATGTATGATAAGTCATTCTAATTTCCTTTGAGTTTCTAAAAATATCATTGAAAATAGTGTGACTGAAACACAGCTGAAACAGCAGCAGTTAAAACATGACTCATGCTTGTCTTTTTTTCTTCTCGAAAATATCAGGACTTTTTTTAATAGCAGTAACAAACACATGCTTGAGAATAGGCATGCGTGTTGTTTTATATTTATTCTGCATTATGTCAACTACAACTGCAGAAAATTTTAGACCTCTAACTATAACAGTTCCAGAGCTATGGGACACAATGGAGCATTTTGATGGCCACTAAACATTTTTTGAAACAAATACTTTTTCCAACTTCCCATCTAATTATCTAACACTGTGCAATGATCCAGTCACAAATATGTTTGTGAGGGTTTATGTCGGGCTATACATATCTGGGCTGCACTATTCAAATTATCCATGTTTCACCTCGTTTTAAAGGTAGTACCACTGGCTAGAAAGCCAAACATTGTGTGTTGACTTAACTAATAGCAGCCATAGCTACTATATCTTTATTAATTGTGCACATGGTTTCTGAGTCATTCCATAGAAATGGCACATTTTGAGTCCCTCTCACCTCTTAAGGGGTATTTCATCTATTGGATCACTAAACTTTATATTTTAACAGCTTTACATTTAGACTGAAATATACCATTTAATACAGTATGAAAAAATATTTTAAATTCTATCTTTTTTATGAGAAATAATGCAGTTTTTTCATTTGACCCCCCTATTTTGTCATGTCCCTCATGGCAATGATGAAAGTTTCCTTTGAAAATACCTAAATAAACTATTTAAAAAGTCAATAAATTTTTACATCAATGTAAACATATTTTTGTGCTCTTTAGTTGTTGATGTTTCTGTTTTTCTAAATTAATCATTAAATATTAATTTAAAGTGACATTACTTCTGTCCCTGAGCAACCGCTCAACCCCGTTATACAAATGATCTCACCCCCATAAAAAGAATGGTATGATCCACAGCTGCATATACATCAGGACGTGACATCACTGAAGTCTTTTGAACAACTGGACCACAGAGGCAGGCAAGGTGCTCCCCTATTTTCCTCTAATTTGGTAATTTATCTTGTGATACTGTGGTCGTCAAACTAAATGACTCAACACCGTAACATTAAAAAATTATAAAAAAATCTACTTCTTACAAAAACCTTTTTTATTTCAATAATATATGCAAATTCTGAATTTCATGCATGCCATGTGCTCTCTTTCTTGTATTCACTACATTGAGAAGAAGCCATTTTGTGCAAAAATCTCAACCCCGTCACACTCAACACCGTTATGTGTTTGATTGTAACGGGGTTGTGATAGTGTGATGGGGTTGAGATTTTAATACTTTGGTTGTTAAGTTATTCAATTACTTAGATTGATTATTACTATATTCAATCAATATTTTTATACTGTTAGCATGCTGAATGTGATTTATGTTCCATGTTAAGCTGTGAGTAAGGTGGCACCAACAATAGCAGTAGAAAGGCAGAGGAAATATCGGGAACGCCTTGAAGCTGATCCTGAAAGGAGGGAGAGATACCTGCAGAGTGAGCGTGAGAGATGGAGAAAGAATGTAGAGCCAGGGAAGAAGAAACCAATTCAAGAACTGAGTGAAAGAGAACAGCGCAAGAAAAGAAAAATGTGGAGAGCAGCTTACCACAGGAGCAAGGAGAGGAAAGAAGTGATCAAGAACGTTCACTTTGGAGCTTCACATCAAGAGGCCAACCTTCATATGGGTGTGTTGTATGTTGGTGGACACCCAGAGCCTGTGTGCTTCAGCACCATCTCCCCCAGCAGGCATAAAGGCCCTCCAGCAATATGGCAGCATTTAAATCCTGTGCTGGATTACCTCAAGCCCAACCTCCACATGTGTCTGTGCTGCACTTTTCAAGTGATGGACCTTGTACCCAGTACAAACAACGAGGCAACTTCTACCTTTTCTCCACAGAACTTGACAAAAGAGGATTCAAGGCTGGGTCTTGGAATTTTTTTGAGGCTAGTCACGGAAAAGGAGCGCCAGATGGTGTTGGGGGGGCCTTAAAAAGGGGAGCTGACAAGATGGTGGCAAAGGGCCGTGACATCCCAGATGCAGAAGAGTTATTCAGAGCCTTGTCTGAAACAAACACAAGTGTCAAGTTGTTCTTTGTGAAAAGTGAAGATGTCGAAGAAGCAATGGAGAAACTGCCAAAGCAGATACCAGCTGTTCCCACAACAATGAGAATTCATCAGGTCATTACTCTGGCTCCAGGAGAACTGATGGCTCGTGATGCAAGTTCGGTCATGATCCAGATTTCATGACCATAGGTGAGGGTAGGAACGTAGACCGACCGGGAAATTGAGAGCTTTGCCTTTTCGCTCAGCTCTCTCTTCACCACGACAGACCGGTGCAGCGTCCGCATTATTGCAGCAGCCGCACCGATCCGTCTATCAATCTCCCGCTTCATTCTTCCCTCACTCGTGAACAGGACCCCAAGATACTTGAACTCCTCCACTTGAGGCAAGGACTCTCCTCCAACCTGAAGGGGACAAGCCACCTTTTTCCGGTCGAGAACCATGGCCTCGGATTTGGAGGAGCTGATTCTCATCCCGGCCGCTTCACACTCGGCTGCGAACCGCCCCAGCGCACGCTGTAGGTCTTGGCAGGAAGGAGACAGCAGAACTACGTCATCCGCAAAAAGCAGGGACGAGATCCGCTGTTCCCCAAACCAGACCCCCTCCGGTCCTTGGCTGCGCCTAGAAATCCTGTCCATAAAAGTTATGAACAGGACCGGTGACAGAGGGCAGCCCTGTCGGAGTCCAACATGCACTGGGAACAGGTCCGACTTAGTGCCGGCAATGCGAACCAGACTCCTGCTCCGCTTGTACAGAGAACGGATGGCCCCTAATAAAGGGCCCCCGACTCCATACTCCTGGAGCACCCCCCACAGGGCAGCACGAGGGTCACGGCCGAATGCCTTAACGGTCGCCACCTTAACGTGGTGGAGGGGTTTCAGTGCCTGGGTGATCCCAGAGGCTATGTTGTCGGGGGCTAAATGCCCCTGGAAGGGTCTCCCAAGGCTCTGGGTGACAGGTCAGACGAAGAGCGGTTCAAAAACCCTTATGACGAGGACTAAAATGAGGCACGTGACGTCGCCCGGTACAGCGGAGCCGTGACCCCACCCTGGAGCCAGGCCTGGGGTTGGGGTTCGTCGGGGAGCGCCTGGTGGTCGGGTTCTTCCTCGCGGGACCCGGCCGGGCCCAGCCCGAAGGAGCGACGCGAGGCCATCCCCCAGTGGGCCCACCACCTGCAGGGGGAACCATGAGGGAACGGTGCAAAGGGGATTGGGCGGCAGCCAGAGGCGGAGACCTCGGCGACCTGATCCGCGGGCGCTTAAACTGGCTCTGGGGACGTGGAATGTCACCTCACCTCATATTCTATTGTTGTTATTATGCCGTTTTGTTTTGTTCTTGTTGTTGTTGTTGTTTTTGGGTTTATATTAAAGCTCAATTCAATAGCAATTTAGCTGGTGTCTTTGCTATGGTTAAAAAATAAATGCCAACAGAAAGTCCTAAACACTGAAATAAACAAAGAAAATCGTATTTGTCCCTTCAACCCTGTTACCATCTTCAACCCTGTTATGTTAGTCTCAACCCCGTCACACCTATATTTTCACATATTATTTTTTTTAAATGTTGATAAAATAATTTAATGTCTATTGACTTTTGTTTCAAATATAAAGAGCTATCATTTGAAATTGATTTTGATTACAATTCTTGAGTTAAACTGAATTTCTGAAGAAAAATGAGTGAGTGATTTCACCAATTTGTAACATTTCAGCATATAAGAAAGCATAAAGTGTTATTTTACGTAATTTTTCTTTTTGAAATGATTGAATTAGGATGGGGGACTTCTGATTAATGTGAAAATGTTTATTTCTTTCTAAATTCATTTTATAATAACATTCAGAAAGGCCTCAAAGTGTCCGTAACGGGGTTGAGGAATTAAGGTGAACACATCTTAAAGTACTGATCAATACTAAAAGAAAATTAATGCCTGAGATGGGAAAATATGTTTTTCGGATAGTTAAATATATCCCTAAATATGTGGGATATACATAGAAACAATACTATTGGGTAAAAAAATTGAAAATGTCGAAGTCCAATTTTACCCATTCTCATGGAATGACTCTTCTATAAAATGAACTTGGCAGTTGAACTGTGGAGAGTCTAAGCTTTCTAAAGATGTATAACATGTCTATATTGGTAAAAGTTTAAGCAGTGTTATTTTCAAGTGAACTGCTGTCTTAAATTTTAGTATTGAAAATGGTGCGCCGGCGAACCTGGTGAGAGTTAAGACATTAAATCTTTTTTTAAAGAATTCACAAAAAAAAAATCCAATTAACGTACCTGTGACTGGGCTGTAGTGATTTCCAATGTTTGTGAAGACATTTTTGAAAACAAGGGTCATATATTCTAAGTTGACTGTGTTTCCTTCACCGGAATCCAGAAGAGAAGTAGAAAAGGCCACTTTGCTTACTGCAATAAAGTTTTTGAAAATATCAGAAAGTTAACTTTGCCTTAAAAAATTCATAAATACTTACAAAATTACACTTACTTATAAATTCTTACAATGAGAAAGAACACTCTCTGCCAATCAGTTTTTTTTTAGAATATTGATTATTAACACGCCACATAATTAAACATAAAAGCTGATCTGGTAAAGTTTGTGAAAAAATGACTGTTCACTTTAAGATGGTTCAAAGTAACTACAATAATAAGAAAAAAACTATTTTACCATTGTTGGTCATTTGTAGCTCTTGCAGTGCCAAATCTTGATCTAAAAACAAAATAAAAATGTATTAATTACTTTAATTAATTAATTGAAAAAACCATGTACCAAATGTAAAGTACCTAAACGTTACCTTCCTGTTTCTCCTGAAGCTCTTCCACATGAGCTATGTGTATTAATAGTCGTTCTTCTACGATGTTGAGTTTCTGCTGAATTAATTTTATCTCTGCACCTTGAGCTTCAGTGAAAGACATTTGACGATAAATGTTCACAAGTAAAAGATTTAACCCAAAAATCTTTCAGTTGAGGTCCAGCAGGTACCTTCTTTCTCCGTCTGCATTTCTTCGATAAGAGTCTCTGCTGCAGTCAGCCTGTCGTTCATCACTGCAAAACGAAGATACATTGAAACATAGGAACTTGTGTATTTTCATGCGTTCCAACTTCATAGTACATAACCTGTAATCTCCTTCTGCTGGACCTGAAACAGGCTGTCAAATTCTGCAAGTTTTGCTGAGAGAAGCCTTAGCTCTATTCCTTGTACAACCACCAAATCTCGTAGGATTCTCAGCTCCTCCCAGATGTCCAAATGAAGCTCCTGCACATCTTGATTTTTCTCTAACCTGTTGAACTGATTCCCCGATACATCCTCACCACTGATAAAACTGTGACTGCTGAGTTCTTGTGCATTGCACAGAATGTAGTGCGGCACAATGAAGAAAAAGGCTAAGAAAGCTTTCATGATTAACCATAGGATAAGTGGGTTTGTTGCCGTCTCTCTGCTTTCACAGTAAATGCAATGGATCTAATGCAGGTTATATATATTAGTGATGTCAAGGCCAAATGTACCAACATCTGTGTGAAATAGTACACCTGTTGCTTAGGGTAAGAGACCAAGTAGTAGTGGTGTAAAGATTTTTCACTTAAAAACACATAATGATAGTCGATTATTTTTAAAGAAATTAAATGTCATAAAGTTATGAAAAAAAGCAAGGCAAATTAATTATAATGAAGGCACATTAAAATAATAATAATATTCCAGCAGCTTGCTTTGCCTAACAAACACATTTATGCTGGAGTATTTAAAACCTTTCAAATATTATAATTTATAATTTAGCTAAATATAATTTAGCTATTTCTTCAAAATTAAACAGAATGTTAAACATTTTTGAAACACAATCCCAGTCATTATCGGTTTTCAAAAACTAAAGGAATGCACTTGCAGAAAAAAGACAATTGCTTCTTGTTTCGTGAGATTTTCATAACAACTAGTACTATAAGGTATGAATGATGTTTTGAAGAGTACTCAGTATGACGTTCACAGAAAGGAAAAAAATTGTTGATACCATTTTATAAAACAAAAAATATTTTCCTCATGTGCACATTGTGATAAGATCTATTATAAAGGGGCTTGTGGCGTTAAATGTTCACTGATTTCTGTTCAGTTCTCATAGTAGACAAAGTTAAGTCTTCACCTCTTTGTAGGCCCTCTTGTTTCCATCTGACGACCAAGGATACGCTATGTTTCTCAGCTGGCTCCGTCTAATTTGGTAAATATAAAATATAAAATGGTAAATCTACCCCTTACAGCAGCAGGGGTTACCATTAGGCAAAACTAGGCAGTTGCCTAGGGCTCCAAGTTTCTAGGGGCCACAAAAACCTCCTTTTACATTTATGGTTAATACAGGTATTACTCAGTTGTGCACACTATTTATGTTTTTGATAAAAATCCATTTTCTAAAAAGTAATCTGAATGCTTATAATATTAAGTGTCTCCAGTTCTTTCATGTGTGCAACATTTATTAATTGCCTTTCCTGTACAATGCTGAGATTCTGCTGATTTATTTTTAGCTCTGCAACTTAAGAAAAATGTTAATCCCTTTATTGACCCACAAAGGGGAAATTCGCTCTCTGCATTTTTACTCTGCCTCTTTGGGGAGCAGTGGGCTGCCATTGCGTGGTGCCCGGGAAGCAGTGTGGGGTTAAGGGTTTTTGCTTAGTACTTGCAACTTTCTAAGAGCATGAGCGCACTGCTCTAACCCACTAGCTCAACACTCCCCCGCAGCTGAAATAATTAAAATTTAATTGTACATTTTCAGTCTATGATCCCAAAAATCCTTCAGATGGTCCCTTCTGTCTCTATCCTCATTTCTTCAATCAGAGTCTCTGTATATGTATGTATATGTAGTACATTTCAATGTCCTCCTTGTGAACCTGCACCTCACTTCAGCTCTGCTCCCTGCACCACCATCAAATCTACCAGATTTCTCAGCTTCTCCCAGATCTCTGACTTAAGGTTCGGTACCTTTTCATTTTACCCTGAGCTGGACATCAGAGTATCAGTATCAGAGAGATAAGAATACAGTACATCCTTACCATTGACAAAGCTTTTATTGTTGTGTTTTTGGACCCTGTAAAGATTACAGATCGACAGACTAAGGAGGAAAGTTAAAAAGGCTTTCATAACAACATGAAGAGGAGAGGATCAATGGGCCTTTTTTCTGTATTTCTGCTTGTGCTGCAATCATATTCTAATGGTTGCAATACATCAGTTGCACCAAGACCAAATATATCAAAGTACTGTGAAAAGGCACATATGTAACTCAGGGTACTGGGCATAGGTAATCAGAATTATGGGATCTCCTTTAGTCTGATAGCTCTCACTAAAATACAGTGCAGCCAATCTGCCCTTGAAAATCATTTCATTGCAAATAGTGTGACTTATTCAGTCTCACTAAATCCAGCATTTCTGTGAACCCCTCAAAGGTTTCCTCTAGAACATCTGTGAACAAGCAGCTTCATAAGTCAAGCCAGTATCCCTGGTCAGGAATACTACCCTCAACAATTCAACATTCAGGCTACGGAGAGCATGATGTATAGATGCAGGGGTGTAGCTATGAAGAGGGACAACGGAAAACAGACAGACATTTTTGAAAGAATATTTATGCAATTAACAAAGCAAACATGTGAAACAATTTACCCTGGTCAAATGTGACAGACATTTTGTATTTTGACCTAAATGCAAAGCACCATTGTGTATTTGGCAGATGACTAGCTATAATTATCACCCAGAAGAACAAAGCATCTATAACATGGTGGTAGCCTTGTCATCCTGAGGGAAGCTTTTTAGTGCATAAATATGTAAAATGGTAGAAGTTGATGAGAAGACAGATGGAGGAAAAGCTGGGAGAAAAGCTGTCAGAACTTGAAAAATATTTCAAACTGACTAGAGTTAAGGTAGATTGATTTGAAGTGAATAATATGTATGTATTAGAAAGGCCGGACCTAGAATAAACAGAAAATCTGTCATGAACAAATTTTTTTTGTTACCAACAATATTGGATGGATTGAGTTGGATTAAGCTTTGGCCATGTTTAATGTCTTAATGTGCAATACTCCAAAAGACATGGATCTCTAACTGCAGTAGGAGGTGCGTCTTTATAGTGTTGACTTACAGGAGCAGAATAGAAAATTGTGGCACATTTTAAAAAACTTAGTAAATTACAATATTCCTTTCACTGCACAATGCTGCAACTTTTTATGCTCACAAAGAATCGAAATATGATACCATAGCAATATTTGTCAGGTTTACATTTAATGTGTTTTGTATCATATTTTGGTGGTTAATAGGCATTTACATCAGCTCACCTATTTAAAGGAAAAATAAATAAAAAATTAAATGATGAAGAATACAGTAACTATAAGATTTTCCCAAAACTAGTAAATTATTCAGTTTTATTAAAAAAATAAATTTCAAGTTTAAAATGTTATCACAAGATCTGCAGGCAGGTAGCTGCTGGCTCCAGATCAATGTTTAGAAAGCTCTTGCTCAATTTAATCCAGCACAGGAGTCATGGAAAAAGTTCTGGCTTTCCAGACGGAAAATGTGACCTAATTCACAGAGGTAAAGACTTTTCTGTTTGGAATAACATGTAAGCAGATGAGGCAAAGATAAGAGTTGTTTGGCCACAGAAACAGCTGATTTGTTCACTAGAACCTCACTCTTACTTTAACATAACCGGGTAAATAAAGCTGAAGTTGACAGTTTTTGTTTAGACTAAGACTTAGAAAGATTTATTTTGTATACAATTTGGTTTAAAACAGCTCTAGAAAATTTCATTTTTTATAGTGCAGCCTTGAAAACGGTAATAAATACATTTTAAAAAAGAAATATAAATATATGACTGTATATTTACAGTTCTAACAATTTTTTTCATATATATAAATAAAATAACCCATTTTACACAACATTCAGCAGTCTAATGGTAGTTGGGAAGAAACTGTTATATAAGCCTCTTCCCAGAGCGAAGCAGGGAGAATAGTCCATGGTGGGGGTGTGAGTGGTCATTTATAATGTTACGGGCCCGGGGCACGCAGCGCTGAGTTGAAATTTCTTCAATGGAGGGAAGAGGAGCCCCGATGATCTTCTCTGCTGTTCTTGCCTCTCTTATCACCTTCTTCCAGTCTGAGGCACTGCAGCCTCCACACCACACAGTGAGACAGCTGGTCAGAACGCTCTCTATGGTGCTTCTATAGAACGTGGTGAGGATGGGTGGGGGCAAATGGGCTCTCCTCATCATCTGGTTCTTCCTGAAGTCCAAGATGATCTTCTTTGTCTTCTCCGCGTTCAGGATCAGGCTGTTATCTTTGCACCATTCCACCAGCTGCTCCACCTCCTCTCTGTAGTTCAGGTCGTTGTCATCTCTGATGAGGCCCACCACCGTAGTGTCTTCTGCAAACTTCACAATGTGATTGGTGGTGAACCTGGGGACACAGTCATGTGTCATCAGGGTGAACAGCAGGGGGCTTAGGGCGCAGCCCTGAGGGGAGCCTGTGCTTAGGATGATGACATCAGAGGTGTTCTGTCCGACCCGGACTGACTGAGGTCTGTTGGTGAGGAGGTCTTACAGCCAGTTGCAGAGCAATGTATTGAAGCCCAGCTGTTCCAGTTTGCCCATCAGATTCTGTGGGATGATGGTGTTGAAAGCTGAACTTAAGTCCAGGAACAGCATCCGCACGTGGGTATTCTTCTCCTCCAGGTGTGCCAAGCTCAAGTGGAGAGCAGCAGAGATGGCGTCCTCAATGGAGCGGTTTTGTCGATAGGTGAACTGGAACGGGTCAAATGTTGGCGGCAGACTGGAGATGATGTGTTCTTTAACCAGCCTTTGAAGCACTTCATCATGATGGGTGTCAGTGCGACAGGCCGGTAATCATAGAGTGAGTTGACCTGAGGCTTCTTTGGGACTGGAATAATGGTGGCAGACTTGAAGCATGCTGGCACTATGGATTGGTCCAGCGAGGTGTTAAAGATGTCTGTGAGGACACCAGCCAGCTGATCTGCACACTCCTTATACACCTGCCCAGGTATGTTATCAGGCCTCCTCCCTGTGGTGTGGAACAGCTTTCACTGCTGAAGTGCTGTTTAGTGCCTGAAACCTTCCAAAGAAGGGCTTATATAGAGGGATAAGCATAACTGGGAGATGATCTGCTGACCTGGGGGCTGCTCTGAATGCATATTTGATGTTAGAGTAAACCAGGTCTAAAGTGTTTTCACCCCGAGTTGCAAAGTCCCCATGTTAGTAAAAATGATGGAGAACAGTCTTCATGTTAGCCTTGTTAAAATCCCTAGCAATGAGGAAAACACCCTGCAGATTGGAGTTCAGAGATAGCCTGGTATTATTATAAATACGTGAGTCACTAACCTGGTTTGACAGTTCAGTCTGTGCCCAGAGAATGAGGATGATTCCAGCTGGTCGGCTAACAAGAAAACTGCCAGAG